GATCCCCGGGTCCAAAAAAAAAAAAAAGACAATTCCATTGTTGATTCTGTTTACTCTTTGAAGGTGCTGATATTCTTGATGTTGCTGTGCTGCCTGTGGGATGCAGTGTAATTTCCTGTGGCTGTCAGGAGAGTTAGGGCTTCCTCACATATTAGCACCTACCTGTGTTTAGACATATCCTTTCAATTTCTGAAATAAGAGGTGATAGACTAGAAAGGAGTAATAATGACCAGGAAAAAGGTTTACCAGAGGTAGGTTGTGGATTCATAGTGCCTTCTCAAATGTCTGTAGGGCTAGGAGACTTACGAACCCAAAGTCAGACCACCCAAAGCTTACATACAGGTTTGAGTGAGTGAGCAGATGCTGCCCCCTCACAAGCCTAAATAATACCCTAGCACTCTTCTAAGTGAAGAGAGCACAGGTAGCATTGTCTAAGAACTTGGATATTTGTTCCTCTGAAACCATGTGGGAATTCTTAGGATTGCAGTTGATGTTTATTTACAACCCTGCAGGAACCTTTGCAATTACTGATGAAGTGTTGGCTTTTCTGTATTTCAGATAGACATCAGTAAATGTCACTATTTAGTAGATTTGGACACCATGAGAGAAAGACCCCGGGAGCCAAGATATTCATCCAATCGAGAAGAATGGATCAGCTTGGTCCACAGACCATTTCTTGATACCTCTAGGTATGTGGTTTTAGTCCTAAGAGATGTAGTAAGACTAGTAAGGATGAAAATTGGATTCTAGGATTGAATAATATCTAATTTCTAGTCTTGGGCTGATTCTAGTAGGTATTAGTTTCTTTTTATTTGGGCCCAACATGTCTTTTTTTGGTACCGGGGATCGAACTTGGGACCTTGCGCTTGCGTGGCAAGCATCGGAACCACTGAGCTAAATCCCTGGCCCCCTCCAACATATCTTTTGTTTTTGTCCAGTTACCTGAGAATGCAGACACCAGGATGCAAAATGTATTCTCATATCATCCAAATGAAAGGCTTCTAAATAATACAGAGAGGTCTACTGTGGAAAACTCAAATCAGTGTTTGAAAATGATTAATTTTGGCAACCAACTTAGCTATCCTCAGAGTACTCATTCTCTGAGGCAAATTGACTATGTCTATTGAAAAGTCAGAGTTTTATGTTCACTATTTTCAGATTCAAAGCTTGTCCAACCTTTGGGTATGCCTTATTAGTTCTTTTTTTTTTTTCCGTTTAGTTTATTGGTACATTTTAGGTATACAGTACAGTTACATTCATCATTGGGATCTTGTACCTTTACATGATGTATCTTGGTTCTTATTTTTTCCCCATTCCCCTAGTCTCCCTTAACCCTCACCTTCCCTATTTACAGAGACTTCGTTTCCATGTTTTTCCTTTTCTCATATTTTTTTCTGTGGCTTATTAGATCTTAAATAGAGAGGCCAAGTAGACCAGGGCTTGGCTGGCTCTTCAGAAAGATCTCAGAGTTAATGATAAGAGGGGATCTGGATAGTTAGGGGTAGGAGTAATGGCAAAGGTCGGTTGGAACCATCATGGTATCTATAAATTTATTATTTGGAGGTGGACAGAGGAAACATACAATAAACAATAAATAAAGAATTGTGTGGTATACTAGAAGATGATAAATGCTAAGAAAAAATAACAAGTTAAAAGGAGGGTTGAGAGTTCACTAGAACTGAGGATTATACCTTTAGCTAGGGTGGCCAAGGTAGGCCTCACTGAAAAGATGGTATTTGAACAAAATCTTGAAAGAGGTGTGAGAATTATTCATTTGGATATCTGTGGAAACAGCTGGTGAAAAGACTCTGGCATAAGGAAGAAACAATAGGAGGCTAGTGAGGCTGGAGCTGAGCAGGAGCAGAGAGTAACAGGTAGTGGGTTCAGGGTGTAGGAGTCTATGACAGTGCAGGTTTTGAAGAGATTTGTAGGCTGTTGAAGTGCTTTTACCCTCAATGAAATAAGAAGTCACTATAGTGCAATAGCCATGTAACTTCTGTTTTTTAAAAAATTCTTTTCAATACTGTACTATGATTAATTGGTAGAGAGTAAGTGTAGAAGCAGGGAGACTAGTTACAGGGCTCCTGCAGCAGTCCAGGGAAGAGATAAGGGTGGTCTGGGTCAGTAAGAGGATAGTACAAATAGTGAGATGTGGTTAGATTCAGGATATACGTATAGAAATGCACTGAATTCAGAATGTGAGAAATAGAAACGAGTTAAAGATGATCCCAAGGATTTTGATATGAGCAGCTGAAAAAATAAACTTAACAATAACTGATGGAAAAGACTGCAAGTAGAACAGGTTTTAGGAGGAGAGTGATAGATCAGCTTTGGTTAAGTTTGATATTTCATTACCAAAAAAAAATAGAATCATTTAGTAGGCAGCTGGATATATAAGGCTGGACAGGGTACTGTCTGAGTTAGAGATAGATATTTAGATCTGTTGGCACCTAGATATTTAAGAATATGAGACTGGGTGAGATGCCCAAAAGAGTAGGTGAAGTTAGGGTTAGTGTTAGGGTTAGGTTAGCAAGATAGTGTTAAATGTCTCAGAAGAACCATTGAAGGTGACTGGTTTAGTCACTTTCCTGGTAACTTAGACACAATACCTGATACCCCTCAAAGGAGGAGAGATTTATTTTGGCTCATATTTTCAGTTCATAGTTGGCTGGCTCACAGGCTCCAGGAAGGGCATATTGGGAAGGCCTGGTAGGGAGGAAAGCTGCTCATGTTATGCTGGGCAGGAAGCAGAGAGAAAAGGGAGGGAGGCCAGGGATTTAGCTCAGTGGTTTCGCCGCCTGCTGCACAAGCGCAAGGACCCGAGTTCGATCCCCAGTACCAAAAAAAAAAAAAAAGAAAAGAAAAGGGAGGAGCCAGGGAGGGAGATGCACTCTCAGGTCATGATCCCAGCAACCCACTTCCTCTAGCTTGGCCCCTCCTTCATAGCACATCAGCTGTGAACCTACAGTGAACCAATCCACCAATGAGTATAGCATCCCCAAGATGCAGTCACCTTCCATACATGTGAGATTTTGGGAGACTATTTCAAATCCAAACCACAACAGTGACTCAGAAGGAGTGATATCAGTAAAGTAGCAGGAAAATTAGGATGGGACAGTGTCTTGGAAACCAAAGGAACATTATGTTTTGAGGCAGAAGGATCAGCTGTATCAGAAGCTTTTTGTTTTTTTTGCACCGGGGCTTGAACTTGGGACTTTGGGCTTGCGCTGCAGGCGGCAGAACCACTGAGCTAAATCTCTGGCCCAGAAACTTTTGATAAATCAGTAAGATGAAGACTAACAACTGTCCATTCAATTTTGTAGCAGGCAAAAGCAATTTGAGTGAAGTGGCAGAAGTACAGGAGCTTGAGAGATTAGAAGGGTAGGGCTGGGGATGTAGCTCAGTGGAAGAGGACTTGCATGCACAGTTCCCTGGATTCAGTTCCCATAAGCACCATAAAAAACAAATAAACAACAAAAACAAAAACCCCTAGCGAGATAGTAGAAGAGTGGAAATTGTAAATCTCAAGTCTTTTGAACGTTTTTGCTGTATCCAAAAAGCAGAGAACTAGGGCTATAGCTGGTGGGGGGAGGTGTCAGGGAAACTGATAGAAAAGATTTTTGGCCTTTTAAAAATATTCTTATATGGGCTGGGGATTTAGCTCAGTGGTTCTGCTGCCTGACTCACAAGTCCAAGGTCCCAAGTTCGATCCCTGGTACCAAAAAAAAATTCTTACTGTGATAACATAAAATTTGCCATTTTAGCTGCCCCCCCCCCCAAGTATTGGGGATTGAACCGAAGGTATTAACACTGAGCTACATCCCCATCCCTTTTTAGTAATTTTGAGACAAAATCACACTAAGTCACAAAGTCTCACTAAATCTCCCTAAGTTTGAGTCCAAGCTCAAACTTGCGAGTGAAGTGGCAGAGTGCTGGGATTATAGGGATGTACCACCATGCCTGGTGGATTTTTTTTTTTTAGAATAGTTTTAGGTTCACAGCAAAATTAAGCAGGAAGGTATAGAGATTTCCCAGGTACTCCTATCACCACATAGGCACAGCCTCCTGCATTATCAGTATCAGCTACCAGAGCGATAGATTTCTTACAATTGATAAACCGCCACTGGAACATTATTACCACCCAAAGCCTATAGTTTAGGTTAGGCCTCACCCTTAGTATAGTACGGTTTTATGGCATAATTTCATGAATCTACCCAAACAGTGTTCTACAGAATAATTTCACTACTTTAAAAAAACACCCTCTGCTCTGTGTGTTTTCTCCCCATTGCCCCAGGCAATCAGTGATCTTTTTATTGTCTTTAAATTTTGTTTTTTGCAGAATGCAGTGCATGATTCAGGTTTTTTTGTTTTGTTTTGTTTTTACTTTACCATGGTGTGAAAGCAATAGACATTCACACCAATAGTAGCAATAGGCAATAGTAGAAACCATATATCAAATTATGAATTTTGGTCTTTTGCAGGCTAAAAATATATAGTATAATACTCTTGCAAAGTTGGGCAGTGGCAGTGAGCTAAGCTTCCACATAGCTATATATTACAGGGGTAAACAGTGGATACTCTGCATTGTACTGTGCTGTGATCTTCAGAAGGTTAGGTGTAATTAAATACATTCTAAATTGACTTTTTTTTTTTTCAGTACTGGGGATTGAACTCAGGACCTTGCGCTTGCCAGACAGGCACCAGCACCCCTGAGCTAAATCCCAGACCCAAATTGACAGTATTTTAAACTTATGGTGCATTTGTCCCAACATAACCTCATCCTGAACTGAGGAGCATCTATAGTAAACTGAAGAAATCTTATAATGAATAGGCTTTTCATATTGCTTCTTTCACCCACAATATGTACTTAAGTTTTTCCATATCTTTCCATGGCTTGATAATTCATTTCTTTTTAGTTCTGAATAATATTCCATGGTCTGGATATATCACAGTTGTTCCATCTACCTATGGAAGCACATCTTTGTTTATTCAAAGTTTTGGCAGTTGTCTTAGTTCTTACTGCTGTAACAAGTTATCATAGACTGGGTTGCTTAAATAATAAGCATTGCTATCTCACAGTCCTGGAGTTTGGAAGCCCAAGATCAGGATGCCAGCACAGATTCTGATTCTGTTCCAGGTTGCCGACAGCTGATTTCTCTTTGTATCTTCATGTGGGGGAAAGAGGTCAAGGTAGCTTTCTGGTCTTTCATCAAGGCACTACTGTTCCATTCTCGAGGACCTCCAAATTCAGATTTTTTTTGGTACGGGGGTTGAACTCAGGACCTTGCGCCTGTGAGGCAAGTGTGGTGCCACTGAGGTAACTCCCCGGCCCAGAAGTATCCAGATTTTGAAGTATTTGCTTATACATAATGAGATATCTTGGAGATAGGACCCAAATCTAAACACAAAATTCATTTTGATTTCATATACACTTTGTATACATAACCTGAAGCTAATTTTGTACAATTTTTTTTTTTTTTTTGAGTCAGGGTCTTCTTTTGTAGTTCAGGCTGGCCTTGAACTCACAGTGATCCTCCTGCCTCAGCCTCCTGAGTGCTGGGATCATAGGTGTGTGCCACCACGCCTGGCTACAATGTTTTTAATATTTTGTGCATGAAATAAACTTTCATAGTATGAAAATTTCCACTTGTCTTATGTCAGCACTCAAAAAGTTTTGGATTTTGGGGTA